TTCGGTTCCCCGTGCGGGCCACCAATTGTCGCGACCCCCTCGCCAGCAAGGAAGACACGACACAGGATTCTTCTTTCAGCGGTTTATTCAGGCCTTAACTCTAGTCTTCTCTCAAGCGCGCGTTCTCTCTGCACGCACCCCCACACAGCCTAATAAAGCTTACTCAAGTCCAATCCAAAGCTGCCACGCGGGGTTTTCTCATAGGGTGTTGAGGGACAGCGCACCAACTTTTCCTAATAAGGAGTTGTTTACCAAGATCTACAACGGAGACCGGCGCCATCTTCTAATGGCGGCAACGGTCTACAAACACGGCTCACCACAAATAATGGCCTCCATTTGATCACTAAGCTCTCAGCATTTAGAGGAAGTTCAAAAATACTATAATATGAAACAGGTTGGTCCCACACTGACCAGAGGCGAAGCCCTGAATCGCCACAGCATGTGGAGCAGGGCTGGAATATGAGCTGGCCGTCTGCTCATAAGGAATCTGGTTCACTGTATTTTGGGACCTGGGGGATCAGGTCCGTCCACAGGACCTCACGAGGCTGGGCTGTCTCAGCCCATTGTCCAGTCTGCAGAGGCCTGACCTTTTGCCCCTGTCTTTATGGGGTCTTTTGTAGAAATGTCTAGTGTGCCTTGTGCTTAAAGAAGGACACCAATGCTCCCTCCTGCAACTTTCTTTTAATGATGGTAAAATAGAAGTGATATAAAATTTATCATTTTAGCAATTAAAAAAGAATACAGTTCAGTGGCATTATACATTATCAGACTGCTGTTACTTCCATCTGTGTGTAGAACTTTCTCTCTCCAACTGAAAATCTGCACCCATTAAACACTAACCCCCCATTTTCTCCTCCTCCAGCCTCTGGGGACCACCATTCTATGTGCTACTGTGATTAAACACAGGGGCACTCTACCACTTAACATACCCCCAGACCTTTTCATTTTTTATTTTGAGAAAGGGTCTCACTAAGTTGTCCAGTCTGGTCTCAAACTTGTCATCCTCCTACCTCAGCCTCCTGGGTCACCAGGATTACAGGTGTGCACGTCCATGCCTGGCTGCACTCTGTCTCTATGAATTTGACAACTCTAGGCATTTAAGTGGAATATATAGTAATTGCCCTTTTGCATCAGGCTTATTCTAGTAAACATAATTCCTTAAGGTTCACCCATGTTGTAGCATGTGTCAGAATTTCATTCCTTTTTAAGGCTGAATGATATTCCTTTGTATGGATTGACCACATTATGTTTATCTATTCATCTGTCAATGGAAACTTGAGCTGTTTCTACCTTTAGCTATTGTGACTAGCTGGTGTGAATGAAAACGGGTGTGCAAATGCCTGTTCAGGTCCCTTCTTCCCATTTTTTTGGGAATAAGAGAAGAATATGGAGAAGTCTTGAATGTTTTTGGTAGTCCTGTCGGAGGTACCCAGGGTCTTGCACATGCTGAGCATGTGCTCTACCCCCCAGCCAATCCCTCCTCAGACTTTAAACCATTCTGTTAAACCAAGGAATGAACTATCACTTATTTAGAACATCGCTTGGTATATTATGAAGCTGTTTTTCTCCTGTTGAGTGTGTGACACCTGGAGGGCTATTTTTGAGGAGCATGGTCATTGCCAGCCTTTACGGGATTCTGGATTTCTTCTAGATTCTGGTGAAAGCCATGGGCCATAGTCTCAGAGAGGTGCACGCACAGCATTGGGCATCTATTCTGGGGGAGCTCAGATTCCCCGAGGCTCATGGTGATTGTGGCTTCTGGATTAAAGCCTCTGTATAAGAGAGCAAAATGTAAGTTAGGAGGGGAAATGGATTTGAGACGGACATTTTACTTCCTGGTAGTTCATTTAGGAGCACGAACACGGCTGTGGGGCGCCTTCTGCTTCCCCACATGCAGGCTCCAGCCCTTGCTTCGCCCGGGGAGGACATTGGAGCCCCTTTACTTCCAGCTGTCAACAGAGCCATGCAATTTCTTAGTATTTTTCTGATTCCAGTTGCTTCTCCCCACCCCCACTATGGTGGCCTCCAGTGGATAAGAGAAAAGAGCAACATTTAGGTTTATTTTTTGTTTATTATTAAAGTGATTTTCACAAACATTTATTACATGCATATGAGAGAATAGGGTGGAGAAAACACAGCTTTGAATACTTGAGGCAATTAAAAGGACACGGTGGCTGTGACGGTATCTGTCACCCTCACAGTGGATTGTTGCCAAGGGCCTGTCCTGGAAGGCACCTTCACAGGCTCAAGGAGAAGGAATGGGCAGAGTGCAGCCTCTGTGGTCTGTTTGCGGAGCGCTGTGGCCCGGCTGCTCAGTGTCTGGGCCTCCCTGCAGGTGTCCTTGGCCTTCAGACTGAAACAAACTCCTCGTGGCCAGTTGCTCTCTCCTCTTGCTCTGTACAGGGCTCTGCTGAGGCATAGCGGTGCTCTCCTGAGCCACCTGGGGGCCTCCAGGTCTGCCACTGCCTCCCTGAGAGCAGGATGGGCACCTGTGGCAGGTTAGGGCATGGTGCCAACTTGCGTCTGAATGGTGAGTGCCTGTCCCCTCCCCAAGAGGAGACAAAGTCTGGCCTCTCTCTGAGTGAGTGCTCAGTGCTTGGTAAGAAGGGAGGGAACTGAGGTCAAGGCTACCCTGCCTGCTTGTGCTATCCTCTCCACCCTTCGTGTCCCCAACTCCCTGCTGCCTGGCTGACTCAGCTGAGGTTCCAATCTGTAAAATTCAGCTCAGCCAACACACACAATGGGAATTGAACTCAGGGGCATTCGATCACTGAGCCACACCCCCAGCCCTATTTTGTATTTTATTTAGAGACAGGGTCTCACTGAGTTGCTTAACGCCTTGCTTTGAACTCGTGATCCTCCTGTCTCAGCCTCTCGAGCTGCTGGGATTACAGGCGTGCGCCACTGCACCCGGCTCAGCCAACATTTTGCAGAGACATTTCCTGCACTGGGTGGGCTTGGCTTCCATAGGCTTGGGTTTGACTTCCAGCTGCATAAACCTCTGACTCTTCATCCTGGGTGTGTCACTTGGTCTCCCAGAGTCCTAATGTCCCACACCGGGGAACAGGTTGCGCCCCGCCAACCTTGCAGGGCTGAAGGGATAGTCTCTGTGGAAGGAAGAGCGTTGGGCTCAGCATCTGGATGTAGGAGCCCCTGAGTGAAAGTTCACTGTGCCCCCATCATTTCTTCCGGTTGAGGCTGGGTGTACAGATGATTTCAAAGGACCCGCGCAGGAGCTGCCACGCTGGTGTGGGGGGCTGTGGGGAAGCAGGGTCCGCTCCACAGGGGCTGCTTGAGCAGGGTGTTGGGAGGCGGTGCAGGCCACACCCAAGTCAGCTGGGCTCTGAGGATGACCTCCACACTTGCCTTTCCAAGAGACCACTTGCTGGTTTCAAAGTGTTCCAGGCATTTTCTAAGTCCTCTGGCCTTTGCTCTGAATGACCTCAGTTGGGTGTTGTCACCTTGGTTGGAAGGGCTGAGCTGCCACCATGAGTGTCTTTGGTGAAGCTAAGGGGTCTTGCTATAAAATGCAGTTTGCCAGGCTGATCAAACTTTCCAGGAGGAGGTGTGGTATCTGGCGCCCCTGGGAGAAAAGAAAGTCCCCTCTCTCCGCAGGTCAGGACTGTGTGGGCGAGGCCAGTGGTGACGTGGGGTAGAGACGTCCAGGCAGGCTGCCGCCCCTGCGTCTGTGGCAGCGCTCTGGCTCCCTGTCTTCCTAGGAGCCCAGCACACAGCAGGTGCTCAGGCAGTGCTTGCCACAGGACCCAGCTTACTCATACCTGGTTTGTGCTGGGCAGGTGGAGACACCGGAGTCGTACTTTCTTCTCGAGTGTCACTGACCACCCACTGGTACTCTGGCTCCAATAGTCTGCACTTCCTGTCCGAGTGGCAGAGCTTTTGCTTCCAGAAGCTGTTCGTGGGTCCTGTTCCTTGGAAGCACAGGGGACAGTGTGGCTGTTGGGAATTTACTAAATGGCCACTGAAGCAGGATCTGAGGTTGCTCAAGGCCAGAGCCCGGGCATGGGCCGTGCTGGCTTCTCCACCACAGTGCGGGAGGATCCGCACCCTGTCCTTAGCTTCCGTCCTTCTTCAGGCCTTAGAGCATACGTCTGCCCTGCTTGGGCCCAGTCCTCGTGCCCACGTCTCCCCTGTACCTCCACCATGAAGCATGAAGCAAGTGCAGCGGTCGCCATGTAGCCGATCTGCCTCTGGCTGCAACGTGTGAACTCAAGGAGATGGGCCTGACATCCTGGAAGGTCCCCTGGGAGTACCAGGCCCTGAGGACCAGGGTTGGCTTTGGGTTTAACAGCTGGGACCCAGAGTTTCCCAGGGTGAGGCTGGTGTGGAGAGACAGGGCAGACCCTACTTGGACTTTAAGACATCCAGATGGTGAAGGGTGGCAGTGAGAGGGAGGCCAGGGTGGTGGCCTGTGAGGGCAGCTAGTAAACTGGGGCTGCTGACTACCTGGTCCTCAAGTCCTCTTTTGTGGGATAAGAGCTAAAAATGGGCTTGACAATAAGAGAAGAAAGAGGGTTCTGTATTGCCCCTGTCCTGCTCTGCCCTGGGGTCACTGGGCACGATGTGGCCACAGTGGTAGTGAGAGCCATGGAACATGAGAGGATGTGGCGGGCAGCCTAGTGGGCATGTGGGAGGCTTCTTTCTGGAAACCAAGGCTGATCAGGGACGGTGGCCAGCCAGGGGTGGTGCAGTCCCCAGGAGGGCTGGTCAGTTGACCCTGACCTGTCTGCTGTTCTCCACAAACCCGAGCTGGACTTGAGGAGAGATGGCACCAAAAGCAGGGTCAGTACAGCTGGGCACCCAGCTCTGCAGCGTGGGTAAGGGCCACTCACGCCTGCATCCCAAGCCCTGTTGTGGCCTGGAGGAGGGGCCATGCCCTGCTGCCTGTCTCTGTGACTCTGCATCTGCAGGAAGAACTCAGGGGATCTGAAGAGCTCTTTCTTGTTCTCTCTGGTTTTTGAGAGAATTAAAGGAGGAAACCCTTTAAGAAGTGCAGTGGTTAATTTTATGTGGCAACTTGACTGTGCTAGGTTGATTCCAGATAACCATAAGTGCTCTTGGTGGTCTGACTGTTGGGTGTGACCAGAAGAGATCAGCCTGTTATCAGAGGGCTGAGCCAATCAGGCCCTGTCCAGTGTGGGTGGCATTTTCTGATGGTCCCAGGGCTCCAACAGGACAAAGAGGTGGGGGAAGGGCACAATTTGCTTTCTTGGAGCTGGGTGTCCTTCTTCTTTGGTCCCCAACACTGGTGCTCCTGGTTCTTGGGCCTCAGACTCCAGGACTGTCCCTGCTCACAGCTTCTCAGGCTTTGTGCTCAGCCTGCATCCCACCGAGGGCTCTCTTGGCTCTCTGGCTTGCAGAGAGCACCTCAGGGAACTTTGAGGCCACCTCCATGATCTCTGATCTCCCATAATAAGTCCCCTTTACTATGTCCATGTGCACACGCTGTTGGTCCCATTTTCCTAGAGAACCCAATAAAGAGGCAGACCCTTCTCTGTGCCCTTCCTAGGGCATCTGTCTCTCACTTCTGGGGGTGACTGATGGCCTGACAAAGGGAGGGAGGCTTCTTTCTGGAAACCAAGGCTGATCTGCAGGGACGGTGGCCAGCCGGGGGTGGTGCAGTCCCCAGCAGTGCTGTTGACCCTGACCTGTCTGCTGCTCTCCACAAACCCGAGCTGGACTTGAGAGATGGCGCCGAAAGCAGGGTCAGTACAGCTGGGCACCCAGCTCCGCAGCGAGGGTAAGGGCCACTCACGCCTGCATCCCAAGCCCTGTTGTGGCCTGGAGGAGGGGCCATGCCCTGCTGCCTGTCACCAGCCATGGATCTTGAGACTTTGCTTGCTGGCCTGTGTGTCCACAGTCCTATGTTTCACGTGTGTTTCTCAAACTGCTCACCTCTCACCCGCCAGGCTGGGCTGGGGATCAGGAGACCTGAGGCCACTTGGCATCGGTAGTTGGAGTTCATTGTAAGATGCTCCCATGTTCCTGGGAATTTTAAAGTTTGTTAACCTGAATAATATAGAACATTCCCTCTGCTCGTCCTCTTGCTGGCAGCAGGCGGTCTGAGGCTTCGCAGACCCTGGGTGTGTGAGGTCTCAGCTGGCTCCATCCTGGGCTCTGGCTTCCTGGCTGGTGGGACGAAGGCAGCCTTGAGGAGACTCTGAGAGGGAGGCGGCAGGCCCACGGGGGAGCTGCACTGAAGCCAGGCCTTGTGACCCAGGCCACCTCTGCCTCAGGCCGCCTCTGCCTCTGGGCCACCTCCTCTTGGGTAGGCCTCAGGCCTCACAGCCTTATTTCTTGGTGACATGCAGGCACACTTCAGACCCCAAGGTCATGGCCACAGGCCCCTTCCTAAGTTTATGGCTGGATACTTACACCCCTTATTCAGGGGCCCAAGGGGAGTCTGCCTTCCACTGTGTCCTGAGGGCAATGATGTCACTGTGAAGGGACTGGGACAGGGCCAACCCTCCAATCCAGCATGGGAGCTCAGTTCCCTAAGTTCATATTCACAAGGTGTCCAGGGCCAGCCTATGCTGCACCTGCCCGGCAGCTCCTATCTCCCACACAGGTGAGTGCTGGGGGGGACAGTAGTGGCACTGAGTGTTTACAGCTGCTGAAGAGAGCACCCCTACAGTACCCACAAATAGAAGTGTGTGTATATATATAGATATATTTGTATTTATATTTATACATATGTATACAGCACTTCATCAGCCGTTCTAGCAGGGCTGGTGAAGACCTCCACTCCTCCCTCAGCAGCTCTCTTCCATCTGTCACAGAGTCCTTAGAGCCCAATGACATGGCACCATGTCCTGCGATCCTGGCTGGAGGAGTTGGCAGTGTAGTAGCCCTACAAGTGCTGACACAGGCTTGTCACCTCAGAGATGGTGCCTCCACATGTCCTTCCTTCTCTGCTGGCTTCCTGTGGGTGACAGGGGCCAAGCTCACAGAGCCACCGGGAGGGTGCCACTCTCCTCTCTCCCACAGCATCAGGCAGAAGCGCATGCTCTCTGGTGCCCTCAGCGTGTCCTGGCCAGGCAGCGTGCGCCAGAGCCGGCTCAGGGGAAGCAGTACTGGTGTCTGGGGATGAGAGGCAAAGGGCAAAAGGCTTTAGAAGCAGTGTCCCATGGGGGCCCAGCTCAGCCTTGGCCCTCCAGGGGCTGGTGGCCTTCCTGAAGTGCACGCATCATGGGCTTCCCCAGGCAACGGGGTGGCCCACAGAGCTGCCTTTCAGCCCCACGACAGAGGGAAGGAGCTCTTCTTCCTTGGCTCCCTGGCCATCCCCGAGCAGGACAGCTCTGAGTGTTATTTGTAGGGCCGCAGGAATCGGGACACTTTGGAACGTAGCAGTTTGATGAAGGACCGGGGGAACATCTCCTTGGACTCCTGGGCTGTGTACTTGAAGTAGTTCTGCGGGTGTGCCAGCACGTCGAAGAGCGCCTTGATCAGCTTCTTGTCCTGCAAGACATGGCGAGATGAGGTGCATGAGGTGGGGCCAGGGCATTCCACTGGGGGCCTGGAAGGGATGGGGAGCAGGGTTTCGGGATTCCCCAAATCGCTTACTACAGATAGTCCTTTGGGTTTAACAGTGTAATTGTATTTTTTTCTTTCCTTTTAACATTTGGTTTTATATTTATTTAGTTATAGTTGGACACAATAACCTTGTTTTATTTATTTATATATGGTGCTGAGAATAGAACCCAGGGCCTCGCACGTGTTAAGCAAGTGCTGTACCGCTGAGCCACAACCCCAGCCCATCATTTTTACATTTTTTAATAGTTTTTTTGTAGTGCTGGAGAGGGAACCTGGGCCCTAGTGCCCACTGGGCAAGTGCTCTGTCATTGAGCCACATCCCCAGCCCCATGTAGCTGTGTTTTGTTTTTTTTTAATATTTGCTTTTTAGTTATAGGTGGACACAATATCTTTATTTATTTATTTATTTTTTATGTGATGCTGAGGATCAAACCCAGTGCCTAACGCATGCTAGGCGAGTGCTCTACCTCTGAGCCACATCCCCAGCCCCATGTGGCTGGTTTTTTAGCAGCCTACTGGCGTGAATGCTTTTATTAAGAGCATCTGTTGGTAATATAACACTCTGAAAACCAGAGCGTGCTGAGGACCCAGCAAGGCTTCGCAGCCACAGCTGCACCTTGAGCTTGCAGTTCCCTGGTCACTAGCTCCTCGACCCTGGAAAGCCCTCGGCAGCTCTACATCTCGAGGAGGCCCCTGGACAGCAGGGTCAGGACCCCCACTCTGAGGGCTGCAGTGAAGACGTAGAGTGTGGCCCCCAGCAGAGCCTGGCTACAGAAGGGCTCAGGACAGCTCTCCAGTGTGGGTGCAGGTGGCACCTGGCTCCTCCTCCCTGAGTGGCCTCTGGAGGAGCATGCACAATCTACCACCTGATGCCATCATGGGCCACCCAGAAGGAAGCACTGAGGGGTGGACTGAGACTTGGCTGGGGTATTCTGGAGGGCAGGCCCAGCGGTGGGCTCTTGGCAGAGGCCTGTAGCCTGGTTTTTTCTGCAAGGCCTCCACAAATGGTGACCTCCCGCTTCTGGGCCTGGAAGGTCGTCAGCTTACTGCCTCTGGCCACGCTTGCTGCTGGGTTTGACCTGTTCAGACACACTCTAACCCTTCTCACACAACCACACGTACACACGTGCACACAACTTGCCACGCACACGGCACCTCGCTCACACACACGCACCACAGGTCCTTCCTATGTGCATTGCTGCCCTTGAGGAACAGCACCCCTGGCGTTGCTCCTCTGCCTCAGGGCTTCATGCTGGGCACCAGCTGTGGGGCATGAAGCCCTGCAGCCCCTCTCACAGGGAGCCCGGGACCACATAGTCATGAAACAGATCCAAGGTGCAGTCCTCACAGGGGCTGTGAAGGAGTGGCACGTGGGACTCTGAGGGTCTGTGACACATGTGGGGTCCAATCAGGGAGGTCCAGGAAGGCTGCCCAGAGGACAGGCACCTCGGCACAGAGCAGAGGGACGGTGGACATTCACTGAGGAGAGGCAGGGGAGATCAACTTGGGAAGCCCTGGGCAGAGAGTGCAGCGAGAACAGGCAGGTGGTCCTGAGGGGTGGGCCCCCATGTCCTAAGAGCAGTGTCAGGACACTCTGAGTTCTGGAAGGGTGCTCCCAGCTGCAGGGGTGCTGAGGTGGCAGCTGGGCTACAGCAGGGTGAGGAGTGAGTTGGGTGCTATCGGCCAGACAGGTTGTGGAGGGGCCAGGGTGGCTCTCTGGTTTCTGTCTAGACAGAGAGGTGGCCTGAGGAGGACATTAGGAGCCTGAGAGCAGCAGCTAAAAGCAAGCTACATGACTGACAAAGCACCTACTATGAGCTCGAGGGTCACCAGGCAAGGGCCTGGAAGTCTCGAGGTGACTACCCAACTATGCAGACCACTCTCTATCTCAGTCAAGTGATACCTGACGAGGGTCAGCCAGGTGGATGTGGCCCCAGCCCCACTCTTGTCCTTGACACCAGCCCAAGCAGATCCCCAGGTCTGGCCTTACTCCGGAAGAACTGGGTCCCTGGGCCTCTGGCCAGTGCCTACTGAGACAGCTGCAGCCTCCCCTCTGTGAGAATGTGGCTCTGCCTCTCGAGGCCACAGAGGACATGGAGGGGTTCCGTCCCAATGACAGGAGTGACAGCAGCATGAGTGGGTTCCAGATTCTATGATATCACCCTGTCCAACTACCCTCCTCTCCCAGACGAGGAAGGCAGAGCTGAGGCTGCCAGGCAAGGAACCTGCTCAAAGCCTCTTCCCCTGGTCCTGGTCCCCATCTCCTCAGGAGCCAGCTTGGTTTAGCCTCTTGGTCTGAGGGGACAGACATACCAGACCCAGGCCCTCCGCCTCCTCCCCTGCCACACCCTCTGTCTCACTTCTCCAGGGGCCAGGGTGGGGGCAGGGACGGCCCAGGCCACTCTCCCAGAATCATGTGGATTCCCTTCCAATAAACTCACTTTCAGAATTTCCTGGTGATTCTCCGAGGCGTACAGCCGCCCGTCGCGCACGATGTCTTCTATCAGCTGCTGGTAGTCCTCTGGGAAGCGGGTCAGCAAGGGAGGGGAAGGCCGGAACTTGAGACCCTCACATCCCCGCCTCTGCCCTCCCTGGCTCCAGCCTCGGGTTGTCGGCGAGTGCTGGATGCTGCCCCTGGCCTTCGCGTCGGGGCCGCCTGGCTGCCCTGGTTAGCCGTGTCCTCCCGTGGGCAGTGCCTCCACCTCCGCCTGCAGACACAGTGTCCTCATCTGCACCCCCACACCCTGAGGCCTGTCTGCAGCGGGGGCCCCTGGGGCATGCTGGTCCTGGGTCTGTGCCCTGCCACAGGCTGGGGCGTGAGGCTGTCTCCACTCCTGGCACCCAGCGGGCCATGATGAGCGGTGCCTTACCATCGTAGGTGACGTAGGGCACTTGGAACCCTTTGCCACTGTTGCCTTCGTTGGACTTGAACTGGATCCAGAGCTTCCGGGAGCGGGAGGTGAAGGCGATAGGCCTCTCATAGGTCTGGCAGGTCTCGTAGGTGGTGATGGATGTGGGCGAGGCTGGGGGAGACGCCCTCACTGAGGTGCCCCGAGCCATGCTCCGCACTGACCCTTCCTCCTGCTACAGGTTGCTTACCTCCCCAACCCAGCTGGCTGCCAGGGCCCTAGTGCCCATTGCCCAAATGCACCCTCTAGATTCGTCTGGTTCCCTCTGCCCTTCGCTGCCCTCTGCCCCTGGAGTTCTGGTGGACCCCTGCGTGCAGCCCCCTGTGCTGGGGCTCCGTCTTCCTCCAGCCAATTGCTCCCCCATGACAGAGCTCACGCCTGTGCCCAGCAGTCAGGAATGGGGGGTGCACTCAGGCAGGCCGTGGGAGAGGAGCCAGGGGCTCCTGTGAGTGAACAAGGAGGGGTGGACCTGCTGTCCCCTGGGGTGCCCACCTCCTCACTGCTCCCTGGGTATTCTTCCTGAGGTGCCCCTGATACAGGAGAGGCTGCCCCTGGAGCTCAGCCCTGTGGGTGGACAGTGGAAAGAAGGATGTGGGTGGGGGCCCTGGGGCTGGTGATGGGAATGGGTGGGGCAGGTGGTTCCTGGCTGGGTTCTGACCTGCTCAGGGACCCTGGGCAGGCCCCTTGCCCTTTCTAGCCACAGCCCCACTTGCATATTAGGGCGGTCAGACTCCTGGCAGACGCAGGCAGTGTGTGCATGGTGCTAAAGCTCACACAGAACGTGGCACTGAGCAAACCCCTCGGCTCCCTCCTGCATCCTCCTTCGCCTCTTGTGGCCTGCCTCTATGACCAGAGATAGTCAGGCCTGAACGAGGGCGTGCTCTGGGCCTGTGTGGTTCCTGGCCTTTCTCCCTGGCCCTACGGCCTTCTCACAGAGCTCTGCACAGCTCAGCTCTGGCGGCCAGATCCCAGTGGGTCCCCACCTGCCTCCCGGAACCCCAAGTGACCTGCTCTCAGAGCCTGGGCCCTCCTTCCTGTTCCTGGTGAGGCTGTACTAAGGTGGGCATGAACGTGGACTGAGGCTGTGTGGCCCTGCCATCCCCATCCCGAGGCCAGTACCTACCACTCTTCCTCATGACCAGGACATCACCGCACTCATCCTCGATGGGCAGGAAGATCTCGGGGACCACAATGAGGATCCTGCGCTTGGGGGGCGGTGCGATGTGCCACACACACTCAGCATTGGCCGGGTAGTCTCCAGGGTAGTTGGGGGACTCTATGTAGCCCGTGTAGTCACCAAGCTCACCACCACAGTGCTGGTCTGTGGGCACCATGGCCACAGGGCCTGGTCAGGCTTGGCCTGCTGGGTGTCTTGGCCTCCTGGGCCCTCAGGCAAGTGTTTCTGTCCCCTCCTCTGCCCAGCCTCCACCCAGTCCTCCTGTGTCAGCTGCCAGGCCCTGAGATGACCTCTAGTGGGAGCCCTGCCTGGGCTATCCCCTCAGCTAGAGGGCAGGTCCCCAGTTGCTCTTGTAGGTTCTCTGAGCCCGAGCAGATACCTAGGGGGCGGACCTGCCTGGCCAGGCCCATCCTGTTTCTGTGTCTGGGCCTGATCATGTCACTGGCCACTCAGACGGGCCGTTTTGTGTCCCTGGAGACTGGCAGCCCCCCTGGCTGGCCCAGCCAGGTCTGGTGTGAATGTACAGTGAGGCCCCCGGGCACCTCTCTCTGGTTATTCACCTGGTGAGCCTCACTGAGCATGCCAGTGCCACACGGTCTCCCTTTTCACAGAGCAGGAGGAGCAAGCGGTCCACAAAGGGAGGAAAGGAATCGTGTTCCTTCTGTCTCCTTTTTAATTAAACTGTACATCCTTGAAGAAGCTGAACCTGACATTTTTATGAGCCAAATTGTTCCTAGCCTTTAATTAATAAGGAAATGGCCTTAGCTCTGTAAAAAGAATTGAAAGTAAATATTAAATGTTTATAAAATTCCTTTGCATTCTCATTTAAAAATTTTTCTCACTTCAAAACTTCTGGGGAACATTTCATTTCCCTACCAGCGTTCTAGAAGCTTCCCTCTCTCCCGGCTTCACCGTGTTCACCTATGAGGATGTTTAAGCCCTGCCTCTGCAAAGCTCCTCCTCTGCCTTGCTCTTCAGCCTGGGAAGCCTGGACGGAGACCACTGCCCCCTCTAGCTAACCCCTTCACCGGCTTTCAGGCAGTTCCCAACATGGCCAGAGGGACAATGAACTAAAACTGACCAGGAGAGGGGAAAACCAGAAACTCTGAAAAAATGAATTTAAAATACTTAAAATGATATGGTGTCCTTTTTGTTACCCCCTAAGACCTACTGGGCAAGGGGCTGGCCGGAGCCCCTCTTTTCCCAGACTGTCTGAGATGACCACTTTTCTCTGACTTGAGACTCTTGGGCACCACGAAGCCTGTATGGCCCTCCTCCGGCCCTTTCATGCCTGTCCACACCTAGGTCCCTGCGTCCTGCTGCTCTCAGGCCTCAGCTGGATGTCCACTTGGCCTAAGAGGCACAAGCCTTTGGGGCTGCAGGGCTGGCACTTGCCAGCTGTCCCAACCGCCTTGCAGCTGCCCCTTAACATGGGTTTCTTTCTCCCCAGGACCCAGAAATCAGAGCAGGGCCTGGCTTGGGCCGAGACTTGGGCTATGGCTGGTGAGTAGAGGGAACTGGTAAACTTCGGTGCCGCCATACTGCTTGCAGAGGGGGCTAAGACAGGGCCTCCCCTCCTTGCCACTGAGCTCAAGAAGGACGTAGGGTTCACAAAGGCACCCCTGTCCCCCAGTAGAGGTGGTAGACAGGAACCAGCACCCTCAGTCAGGCAGTGGGAGATCAGCTGTCACCCTGCCTCCCCGACCTCCTGGGCCCTGCCCAGCACCCCTGCTCCTTGGAGAGGGAAGAGAGGCACCTACTTTTGCAGTGTGTGACATTGGTGGAGCCATCGAAGTCCGTGCTGGTGTTGCCTGGACAGGTGATGCAGTGGTTCTGGCCAAACTCAGGCTGGTAGGTGCCCACAGGACAGCGGATGCACCGGTGTGTGGTGGTGTTGTAGTGGTGGCCAGGGGAGCAGTGCACTGCAGAGACATGTGGCAGGGGTGCTAGTGGCAAGGCCAGGCCTCCCCTGCTCCTGAGGTGCAGCTCAGACAGAGCTCAAGGCCCTCTCCCACCCAGTGCCGCCTCTTTACCATGAGGGGACAGGTGGGAGGACACGGCCAGGACTGAATGGCTTAGGAGGGGCCCATGTCAGACACAGACTGAGGACACCCATGGGCTCCAGCAACACAGGGACGTGTAGGCCACTGTGAAGGGAGCAACTTTTGGGGAGACGTGGGGTAACAGTGTGACTGAAGGGGTTCAGGGCAGAAGCCAGAAGAGGAAGGGGAGGGAGCAAGGCTGTACCTTGTCATTCCACAGGTGAGGGCACGGGGAGGAAGGGGAGGCTGGAGGGCAGGGCCCAGGGGAGAAGCTGCTCCTCAGAACAGCAGGTCCCCAGAGGGGACCATCTGGATATGTGGCAGACTCTGTGGGACTGGGATTGAGCCCCGGGCCACCGGCCTGTGCTGGCAGCACAGATACCTGACAGATATGAGGGGGCTTGAGGAACAGGAAGCAGGCTCATCTGCTGGGGGGACAGGCAGGCTGGACAAAGGAGGGGAGTGGCGGACACCCAGCAGGATGGCCCTGAAGGGGCTGGTGAAGGTGTCTGCTCTGGTCCAGCCCCTGCCACCTCCTGGTCCTCCCATCTTCCTTCCAGACATGGCTCAGAGGTTCCCAGAAGCCTCCCAGTGCCTGAGGTGCTGGTGCTCAGCAGGCTCGCAACCTGTCCTAATCATGGCACAGTGCTCGTCACCATGTCCATGCCTGGTGTCTCCAGGCTACTCCTCTGATTCGGCCATGCCAAGGAGATGAGGGCTTCTGGGGAAAGTGTCCCTGAGCAGTGCAGCTGGGGGCGGTAGGGCCTGCTCACCTTTGGCCTCGCAGTCCTGGAAGGAGGTGGCGCCCTCCAGCTTGGTGAGCAGCCCCCCTCCACAGGGGAAGCAGCCGGTGCGCCCAGGCTCAGGCTGGTACGTGCCCATGGGGCAGGCCTGGCAGGGCTGGAAGCCGTCTGCTGAGAAGAAGCCTGGAGAGCACTGGCCTGGAAGTCAGAGGTCAAGGCTCAGGTGGGAGGGCGCTACTGGGGCTGGGCCATGAGTGGCCCAAGGCCCTGATCTTAGTCTCGCTTACCCCAGGAGAAGGCACCTGGGGTGGGGTAGGGGACAGCAAGACAGCCCTGGTGGTGGGAGGCTTGGTCTGGATGCTGGCAGCGTTCCGGTGTGGCCTGCCAGGCCACCTTTGCTTCTCCCACAGCAGGAAGGGCTGGGGGCAAAAGGGCAGTGACCCTGCTGAGCTGGGAAGTGGGAACCCCAGGTGAGGGGGTTTCTTTCAAAGGCCTCTCCCCAGGGGGCAGGCCTCATGTCTCATGTGTCCTCCTGGCCCAGGTCCTAACCAAGTGATGAGTCTCCCACCTGTGGCCACCTTGTGCTCTAAGTCACTACCCGCCAGGTGGGGGCACCACCCTTCTGGAGGGGCAGTGGGCCAGAGCAGCTGGCAGCCTGCAGAGCCTTGGGCTAGGACTTGGGCTGTTCTGACCCTGAGAGAAGGCAGAGGTCTCCACTCACCTGAGTGTCCACTCGCCCACCCTCACGGCACTGCCTTGTCATGTGCATGCTTTTCCTGCATACCCTCCAGCTGAGCCCCGGGAGAGACCAACAGGGAGACTGACTTGTTGCATAAACGGGGCCAAGTGGGGGTAGCCAATGGAGACCATCTCCACAAACCAACGGCACAGGCTAAGTAAAAAGTGCCATCTCAATCAGCTTAGGGTAAGGTTTAGCACTCTTTGTGCAAAGTCCCTGCTCACAAAAGTACGTGGTTCACTTGGTGACTTGTTGATGACTGTCCCCAGGAGGCCCAGTGCTGGGTCAACCATAAAGCACTTAGGTTGTCCCTTTATGACCACACCTCGTCTGTGAGGACAACGTGTCTGCACACTGGCGTGCTCTGTGGGCTACACGGTGCAGTGATGTGGCATGCAGAGCTCAGGACTCCAGGGGCCTCCAGGAGCGGACCCCTCATAGCCCCACGTCCTTCGTGGGGGTACCTGTGTGGAAACTGAGCCACTTTGGGATGGCAATGAATGCAGCCAATGCCAGGCTCTGTGGCCGCACATGGCAGCCACCTTTGCTTTGGGAGCCTCGGGAGGCAGGAGGGCCCTGCCTGTGCCCCTCCCCACCAGCCCCCCTTCCACCAGGAGCTCGGACCAGAGAGAGAAGAGGGACGCTGTTGGAAGGATGGCGGAGTTGCAATGGGGTGCATGAGCTGGATGGGGAACCCTACACCCCACCCTCCTGCACTTGCCTCCACATTCAGATACGTTGTGGGCACCAGCCAGACCAAGCCCGTCACTGCTGGGACATGGCGCGCAGCTGAGCTGGCCTTCCATGTCCTGGTAGGTCCCCGACACACACAGCACACACTGGCCCTGCTCGCCGCTGAAGTAGGTGCCAGGCCCACAGGTCACTGCAGAGGCAGAGTGGAGAGGCTGCTGGGGGACAGCGGCAGAGGGCTGGGGCCGCCTCTCCCCTAGCAGACTGGAATGGCCCAGCGGGGCCCAGCCTCATCCCAGAGGAGCTGGGGACAGGATCTGGGTGGCAGCCATGTACGAGGACCCTTGAGGCCCTGGTCTCCTCTCCCCGAGGTGGCCCCTCCACAGTGCTCCACAGGCCCCTGCAGCCCTGCTCTTTCTCCCCTCCACGTCCTGTCCTCCACCCACTTAACCTGTCACCAGCTGCCTCCTGGGGCTCTTCAGCTGGACACCCAAGCCACTTCACCCCAAACCAAGCTCCCGGTCTCTCCTTTTCCTGCTGCAGGAGGATCTGGCCCCAAGGATGGGCAGTGGAGCCTTGAAAACTGCACACGGGCATGGGCCAGGGGCCTGGACAGAGGCTGAAGGGACAGTCTACGGGATGGGCGGTGTTGGGCCAGCAGGAAAATGTGAGGAAATAAGGAAACTGAGGCAGGTAAGTTAAGGGGAAAGGAAGCCATGTCTCCACAGCTGAGAAGGTGTTCCCACACAGGCTGTGAGGGACGGAGAGAGCCCGGGGCTTCAACGGGCGGACTGCACAGCGTGAGGTGTTCTCTCAGACACACACCTGGGGAGGAGCCGGTGCGACATGCCTACACTTTCCAGAGCCCTCATGGGAGGGCCTGTGGCAATGCTGCTCCCTCAGCAATGAGCGCTCCAGGGGCTGGTCTCTGCATGGCCCTCTCCTCTCACAGGAGCTGGGGATTTGGCTGCTTCCAGGCTCAGGCAGGGAGGTACAAATGAAGTCCCACACATCTTGTGACACGAAAAAGGACAGGAGGCCTCACAGAGCGACAGGGGCCAGTCAGAAGGACACGGGGGCCAGTTTAGGGGTGCTCAGTGCATAATGGGGACAGTCTGAGCATTAGCACTGACCTAAGTGGTGCTGGAAGGGATTACAACTCAGTGTGGACTAGGGGACTCTCTGGGCCCCTGCTGACAGACACACAGACAGGGCAGGGCAGAGCTCTTCCTTACAGGAGACTCTAACTCTGAAACGCAGACAGGACAGCCCAGCGGCAGCCACCACCAGGTGGGAGATTTGCTGGGGGTCATAGGAAGCTGGGGTGGTGGAGTCAAAGGAGCATCAGGAATCAACTCAGCATCTGTCCCCAGAAAACACTCCTCAGCCACCAGAGAGGAGCTGAGGCCTCTCTGTACCTGCTGACAGGCAGGACAGCTGGCCTCGGGACTGTGGTTGTCCTGCAGACACAGGCCTCCAGCTGGTGAGGAACAGCCGGTGGGCATACTGAACGAGGGTGTGCCTGGGCCCAGAGAGGCCAGCAAGGGGGCTGCCCCAGAGCTCAGGGGCCTGAAGAAGCGCAACAGGAGAGTGACACTCATTCCTGGTAGGAGCTCGGACCAGAGAGAGAAGAGGGACGCTGTTGGAAGGATGGCGGAGTTGCAATGGGGAGCATGAGCTGGATGGGGAACCCTACACCCCACCCTCCCGCAAATGCTGAAAAATGTTCCCAGTTGGGGACTTGGGTGAGGGAAAATGGAAGTTTCTGTTCTGCTTTCTGAAAGCTGGAAATGATTTCCAAGTAAGTTGTTCCAAATAAGAGAGTGATGTCACCGAGCCCCTGGTCTGTGTCCCATGTCAGAGCAGTTCTGCCCACTGCAGTCTGGGTCAACGTCCCTGCGACAGCTGCACACCTGCCACCCGCTTCCCAGCAGCACCCTGGCCCAGCCTGCTCTCTGGGCTTCAGATCTGTGGTCCGATTATCTACTCACCCTGCCCCAGGTGGGCCTATCGGACCCCTCCCCACCTGCAGATGGGGAGACTGAGGATCTGAGAGGCCTGATCTGCCCAAGGCCATGAAGCAGATATGAGTACAGGCCAGGCCTCTGGACGGCTCAAGGGCACCCTGTAGCGGGAACTCTCTACCTCCCCAACTGCCCTCTGTAAGTATCCCAAATCTACAGTGAGTACCTGAGTGGCCGTGCCCTGGAGTCACCCCGGAAGTCTCTCTGCCCAACCCCACTCGCCAGAGCACTCCTGGAATTGTCTGACTCTTCATTTGCCCTGCCCTGGTTCCAGGACCCCCACCCCTACATGGCCTCCTCTCTCCCCCATCCACCCTCCTTCCAATCAGCCTTCCTGTCACAGAGAGTGGACCCGGATGTCCCTCGCCTAGGGCATCCCAGCAGAACCCAGAACTGTGTCTATGGCTGCCTCATGTGCCTGTGGGTGGGCTGATTTGCTCACAGCCTACTTCCCCACGAGAACAGTACAACTCCTGCTTGCCCCGGCTTGGTCCCCAGTGCCGTCTCTGACTTCACCCCTCGTCACAAGCCACCCCCAAGGTGTGGTCACCTGCCCTGGCTGGCTGGCCTCCAGGCTCCCCGACAAAGCCCACAGGGGCTAGGGGCTGGCCTCCCCATTCCCTGCAGACCACCCCTTAGTGGTGCTGGGCACTGTGGCCATCACACTCCGCCCTCCCTGACCCTGACTCAGCTTCCTGGCTTCTTGTCAGCCCAGGGGCCTCAGTTCACCCTTCTCTGGGAAGCCTTTAAGACGCCTTTCTGGTCACTGCAGCATGGCCTTGCGTCATGTTCTGTCCCCGTCTGTGCTGTGTCCTTCAGGACTGTGGTGAGGATGGCAGGCTTAGGGCCCTGCACCAGGGAGTGCACTTTAAATGACAGAGATGATGCGAGGGCCACGGTTCTCCAGGGCAGGCCTCTGCATCCTGTCCCCCCACGAGTCTGTCTCCCGTGTGTTCACTGGGGTTCGCTTGGGCTGCACATACAAGGAAGTTGGTGGCTGAGTGGCCACGGGCAGGGACTCACCACATTTGCTGTCCTGGAGCACCTGGCCAGTGCCACACGTCCCTAGCCCCTCCAGGGCCTTGGCTGAGCGCTGGGCCACCTCGTACTCAGTGCCTGAGATCTGCACGTAGAACTGCTGTCGGTTGATGGACTTGCGCAGGGTTTTGATGGCGGCCTGCAGGCTCTGCTCGGCTCGCTTCCGCACGCAATCAGCTTCGCAGGTGTCTGGTGGGAGAGACCATGTGAGAGAGTAACGCGGCCAGGTGAGCCTCCACCTTCTCCAGAAGGCTCCCTGTGCCAGACCCTGCCCCGGGTGGGCCGGTCGGACCCCTCAGCCATCTGCACAGCAGCCCTGGGGCGAGTCCCCACAGGCAGTTGGGGAGACTGAGGATCTGCCCAAGGCCCGACGCAGATATGAGTACAGACCAGGCCTGTGTCCGCTGCCACATGTCATCCAGGGCACCACTCACTGCGTGGGAGCTCAGACACTCTTGAGGACTGTGACTGAGCCCAGAGCAGTGTCCAACTCTCTGTCTTGAATCCAGGATGCCCCGAGGTCTGGCTCCGCCCACCTTGCCAGCCTCAGCCCCAATGCCCCAACACTGTTAGTGTCACCTCCAGCTGCCCTGCCCTCCTCTTACACCCTACCCTCCGACCTCTCTGCCTTTGTCCGTTCTATTCCCTCTGCCTGAATGCCTTTCCTTGCCACCTCTTCTACCCTATTAACTTTTTTTTTTTTTTTTTTGGTACTGGGGATTGAACCCAGCGGTGCTTTACTATTGAGCCAGTCCTTTTTATTTTGGATTTTGAGACACAGTCTCATTAAGTTGCTAAGGGTCTTGCTAAGTTGCTGAGGCTGGCCTCAAATTGTAATCCTCCTACCTCAGCCTCCTGAGTCACTGGGATCACAAGTATGCATGTAAACTTTGATTTCAAACTGATTCAAATTCAAATGTCACCTTTCCTGAAAGCCTTCCTGAGCCCTGCACTTGGGAGTCACCTTAGCTCCACACCCTGCTTGTTCCCATACCCCCACTACTCAGGGTGTCACCTGGCTCTGGGCAGCTAATAGGCCTGTCTGCCTCCCTGCAGCTGGGAGCATTGCCAGGGCAGGGGCCATGGCTGGTCTCTTTTTCCATGGTGTCTACGCCCAGGTCAGGCATACACTGAATACATTTGCTGACCACTCTCACCTCCTTGGCCTCAGTCCAACACCAAGAGGAACATGCTGGTGTGAAGCAGCCAGCACCACCAGCCTCTCAGGAAGCTGGGAGTCAGTCCGTGGCGTGACCATTCTGGGGGCTGCACACATTTCCCCTTCCAGCCCCAGCCAGGGCAGGAGGGTGGGAGTGTGGCCGTCTGTCTCCGGGGCTCTCTGAGCCGCCTCTTCCATGCTGGACAGGGCCTTCCCCCTGCCAGCCTCTCACCAGCCTCTGCTACCTGTGGTCCTGGCCTGGGGGTGGAGGACCCCCATCCTGCCCTGCAGCTGCTCCTCAGGTCCTTGCAGCCATCAGAGAACTCTTCACCCACCTGAGGCCTCTTCCATCTTTATCTCCACCTCAAACTCTGCAGTGACATGGGACACCTCCTTGGATGGGGACTTGCGGCCGCGGCGTCTCTTCTTGGAGGAGTCGCACTTGAGGGTCAGGAACGTCACGTGGCAGTTTTCTGACAAGGATGGGAACACTATGGCAATCCCAGCCCTGTGCACAGCCTGCACTGGATTGCCCCTTGCAGGGCCCTCCGTGCCCAATAGCAGGGACAGACGGGGAGCGGAGCTGCAGCAGGCCAGGCTGCTGGGGCCTCATGCAGGAACCAGCCCTCCGAGCTACCACAGCGCCGCCAGAAGAGGCGCCCCTCTTGCACAGGCCAAGCTGCTGCACCTGTTCAGGCCGCTGAGGGTGTGGCCAGTGCCCCAGTCAGGCCTGTCGATGCAGAGCATTTAGACCAGTTTCAGAAGGAGTCTCGTGGAACTAGAGCTGGAAGCTCCCGGCTGGGCCCTTCTTGGAAAGCTTGTTCTCTGCTAGCCCTCAACCTGGAAGTCCTTCTTGGTCACACTCTCTCGAGAAAGAACTACTGAGTAAAACCTGCAGCTCCTTCAATTAGGAACAACCAGGCTACGTAGAAAGGCCTTGCTGGGTGCATGTGTCACTTAACCCTGGTGTGGCAGAGACAGTGGCCCTCAGGATGCTGGGTATTTCCCACTCAATGTAAGGGGCCAGGGGTGGGGGCGGCAAGGTGGAGGGCCACAGATGGGATGCTTAGAAATCCACCCTGCTGGACTCTGGGCCCCAGTCCCAGGCTTGGGGGTTCCTCCACCACCCCTGGGTCACCTACTCACCCAGCAGTGGTTGCCGTGGGGTCTCCTTTGCTCGCTCCCGGCTACGGGGCCGGAGGTGGCATTTGGCATCTCTGATCTTGAAGCGGGCCTTCTGCTTGATGGGGGCACTGGAGGCATCTGGAAAAAGCCAAAATTCTCTCCTATGGCAAGGAAGTGGTGGGGCCGGGGACTGCCACAGAATGAGTCTACCTGGGGTTGGGGTGGGTCTGGGTGTGGGCAACTCTGTCCCATGGCCCTCCCAGGGCGGGGGAACCTCCCCTGCCCCACTCCCTCCTCTCCTTGCAAGGCCCGAAAGGGTGAAATCAGGGACAGTGGGTCGAGCTCAAGCCCAGGGGCATCTGGCCAGAGTCTTCTGCAGAGGGGAAGGATTCCCAGCCTCCGCCTGTCTCATGGCCAAGGCCCGAGTTGTGGCTGGAGATTTTAGAAAGCAGGCAGAAGGGAAGAGGGGAGCAAGAAAAGGAAATACCATGGAGACCAGAACTGCAGAGTCCTTCAGAGAGCAGATCCCAGCTCTCTGGACTCAACAGTCCTGCGCTCCAACAGGCTCCGAATCACGCCTTTTACACCCTCTGCGCACCTGAGTACGCCCCCGCCACTCTGACAGCAAGGATCAAAAAAGCGCTGGGGATACCCTCTCCCACGCTGAACAGAGGCTGCTGGGCAGGGCTGGTCCCAAGGGAGGGAGCACGATGTGCCTGGCACCCCTCAGGCAGCGTTTGAGGCGGGGCTGCCCACCGAGTCATTCGGGAGAGGCCACACACTCCCCGAAAATAGAGCCTGAGATCTGTACACACAGAAGCACTTTGAAGTCACTCAGCTACTGCTACTACGACCTCAGATCCAAAAAGCCAGTGCCCCTGGGCTGGAACTCGACCTTCAGGCTGCTGGCATCTAGGTCCAGGCCTGCCTTGTCTCCAGTACCCTGAGCCAGGCCTGGAAGGACCCAAACTGGGAAACTCTCCCCTGGGGCTGTGTCCCTCCCTCCCCATGTCCCTCTCCACATACCAGAGAGTCAAGGGGCCACCTAGGTGTGCAAAGTGTGGACAGTCAGGGGCTACCTGAGCAGCCAGGTCCGGTGCCAGAGCTGGTGCCATTGCGTTTCGGTAGTGTCCTGCCCTGGAGACCCGGAACACCACAGCTCAGGACGTAGCTGTTTTCTGAGTCTGTGGAGAGGCCAGTGGGTGAGGTGGGCCTGCGTGCACCTCCCTTCCAGGGCCTCAGATTCTCGAGGCCTCCAAGAGGTTGCTGAACAAGAAGGTCAGGACTGACCGGTAAGTCAGTCTATTTCTGCCACATGCACACAGGTAAGTGGCCAGGCAGGAAGAGGCCTAGACCTATGGAGGTCCAAACAGTTGCCCAGGGGCACTGTGACCAGGGCTCCCTCATCCCTGGTGGGGCTCTTTCCCAGAGAGTTGCAGAGATCAGGACCTTGACCCAAGGAAGAAGCCCCCCACCAGTACATCCCTTCCCTGGGGCCACCTGGGTTACCTGGCACGAAGAGGGTGTGGGCTGGGCAGGAAAGGAGGCAGCTCTCCACACTGCCCACCTTGCTGCAGGACAGATGGGCCTGGGCAGAGGCCTGGGCTCGGGAAAGGCACCTGCCTGTCTCTGAGGAGAAGGAAGACAGAGAGGGCCTGAGAGGCCAGGGTGGAGGCTTCCTAAGGCTGACAGGGCCCCGAGCAGGGGTCTTCCAAAGCTCTTCCTCACAGGGCCAGACTGTCTTGGTGGGAAGGAGCTCAGAGGTGGCAGTGTCCAGTTCCATTTGGCCAGGTTGGACGCTAGCCCCAGAGAGCCGACCTAGTGCGTCAGACACTGGTTCCAGCTGTCTGTGAGGTGGCTCACACCCATTCCCAGAGGAAGTTTCCGGGGACAGGGATGGGCCCTCAGGACAGCGCCTGTCTGGGGAGAGGGGCAGCTACAAATGAACATGGGCTTCCTGGCCTGGAGGCACAGGATGGGGCAGCCCAACACACCCCTTGGGTGTCTAAAGATGTCCACAGCAGCTCTTCACAACTTCCTGAGGGTTTGTTTGAAAAAGTCCCCAGATTCCTAGGAAAAGACCGGTAGTTCCAAGCCACCTGCAACATCAACATCAGAACTGATCTGGCAGACATCTCATGGTGAGTGAGTGACAAGTGGCCCTGAAAGCCAGATCATAAGAGCGTCCCACAGTGAGTCAGTCACCAGATGGAGCCACATGCTCTCTGCAGCTGGCACAGGCCATACTCATATAAGACTCACGGACCTGATCCTGATACTGCCAAATCTGGCTTTCCCCTCGGGACACTCAGCATCTTGCTGGAAACGCAGCCCTCGCTTGCTTAAGCAGTCAATTCTGTCTGCCTGTTTAAGGTACCAATGGTGATCTCCTGCTTTGGCAATTATGGAGGCTCCTCCCAGATGTCCCCTGGGGTCCTGTGGAGCCTTGGGCCTGCAGATGCCACCCTTCAGAGAGGCTTCTGGGGGAGTGCAGCTCAACAAGGGATGACCTGCTGTGCCTTAAGTGCTCACACTTGTTGATGTTGTCACATAGAGCTCTGAGTTTTTATTTTTATTTTTTTTGTACTGCTGGGGATACCCACTGAGCTACAGCCCCAGCCCTCAAAGAGATCTCTTCGGTTTGGAGTGCACGGCTGCCCCATGTTCCCCTGCTTTGTTCCACCTGTCCTGTGCTCCTGGGGGAGGAGACAGAGATGTGGCCCTGCTCACTTCCACCCCAGTGCAAGGTGGCCCCCAAGGCCAACGGTCAGAGGCATATTCACCAAAGTCGACAAGGTGGGCCTTCCTGATAAGAGCAGCATCCTTACAAATTTAGACTGTAACCCCAACTCTGCTTGGTCAGTAAATGGAAAACTGCCCTCTGCTGGCTGCACAAAACCCAGGCACTACCTCCACACCACCTGGGAGCAACGCGGGTCATGATGGCAGCTTCTGCCACCTCAGAATGATAAGCTGATGTGCGTAGCAGGAGCTCCAGAAAGGCAGGAGGCAACGCCCTCTTTCCATAGTCAGCTCGGCCCCAGCTTCCTCCCCATCTTCTGAATCCCCCTTCTTCCAGCTCCACTTCTGCCAACCCTCCCTCCCTCCCTCTGCTCCGGACCCTGACCTTTTCTCAACAAGCCCTTCTTCCCTAAGGTTTAGCTCAGGAAAGGAAGAACCACACTGTACAGAATTCCACTAGAACAGTTCACCCATAAACCAGAGTTACCATGTTGAAATTCAAGCGTGGCCACAAGCCGAGTGCTACAAAGGGTCAATTAAATTCTGAACCGCAGGAGATGGACAAGCGTTTGCTTCAGAATGCAGGATTATTATTATTATTATTTTTTTTTTTGATAATTATTGGCCTAAGTGATCAGATCTGTGCCCATGACACTAATAATTCATTTAATTATTAGTATCTTGGATTGGAAAAAAAGATGAAAAGCAGCAAACAATAGAGTACAAGGGGAAGATTTAAACACCCAGCCTAGGTGAGCATAATCAGAAAAACAGCCTTAAGAGAAGCAGAAAAACAGGGACTACTGCACACAAGGCTGCTTTGGAAGGCTTTCCCTTAAGAAAAAGTTGAATAAAGAAAAAAATTATAAACAAAGTAAATATGACTCAACTGGTGACTTGAAATGCAGACTTTACACTTGCCAATGATATTTTGAGCAGACTCAAAAGCAAAATAAAGGGAGTTTTGTCCTTTCTTTTGCAGATGGGTATGCCTGAGATAAGGGGGTGAGTTGGGAAATAAGTTGGAATGGGAAATTGCCAATTTAAATAATCCCCAACATGTGAATGAACATTTTATGTTTGTTTGTTTTGTTTTTGAGGTACCAGGGATTGAACCCAGAGGTGCTTAACCACTGAGGCACACCTCCAGCCATTTTTAAATTTTTCAGACAGGGTCTTGCTAAGTTGCAAAGGGCCTCACTAACTTTCGGAGGCTGGCCTTGAACTTTGAGCCTCCTGCCTTAGGCTCCTGAGTCGCTGTGATTACAGGCATGCACCACTGTGCCTGGCATGGCTGAATATTTATTTTCAAGGAGTCTGAGAAAGTAAATAATGAAACAAACAAACAAACAAAACCTCTCATGTTCCTCCAAATGAAAACATCTGGTTTCCAAAGTGCTCTGTTCCTAAAGAATCCAGAGCCTGGGGATAAGAGCACCTGTGGCTGATGTGAGCATGGGGTCCTGGACTCTCGGCTTGTGAGCACTGTCAGGCTGCACAGTCCACACACAAAGCTGCCCAAGTATCCTGCATGCTCTGCTGGGCTTACAATGGCTGCAAATTCCATGCCCTTTCCCTGGGCCATTTCTTAGCCTTGTGTTTGCAGCCTTTGAAGGATGAGGTAACACAGGCCCCCGTGGGATGCAAATCCCCGCGTGGCACCACTCTCGTGGACCCCTCCCAGTCGTTCCTGCAGGACTCAGGGCAGGGGAGCAAACGAGCACCACTCCTGGGTGTGGGTAGTGAGGTCCTTGTGCCTTACCCAGGAGGCTGTGACCTGTGCCGGCACCCACGAAACAGAAGCCAGCCTGCTGACCCAGCAAGGTCCCAGGCCTGAGTCCACCGCCCACAATTACGCTTGGCAGTGCTGCAGAGCACTGAGCCCCTCCAGGATGGTTTGGAGTTGGCTGAAAAGCAAGAGGGAAGCAAAAAGTGCTTCAACCTCAAAGTAAGAAGGCCTGCTGGTGTCAGCACCGTGAAGGGCATGGGTGGGCACAGTGAAGGGATGTGGTGGGGAGGTGTGGAATGACAGCAGAAAACCCAAGGCTTCAAGGGAGCTTGCAGACGGCTTGAGGGGCTGGGCACTGAGTCGCTGAGGTTTACTAAAACCATTCAAGTCGTGGGACTTTCTAAACCCTCCACTGTCCCAAGATCCAGCCTGTAACTGTTCCTCTGGAACCTTTATCTGAAGACACTCGCCCTTTCTTTGGGATAAAGGTTCCCAATACAGCAGGGAGGGGTCTATTCAGCCACTGGAACTGCCAGGAAAAGCACACAGAAGTCCCAAATAATTCTTTTGCACATGACTGAATTAGAGCTGACAGGAACCTCAATGGACACACACTGTTCAGATCTGAAAACAGAATCCCTGAGGCAAAAGCTCCTACGACCCCAGTGGAGCAATAGGAAGAGAGCAGAGGAAGAGTCCAGAGTGAGCACTTCCACGTCCCCCTCAACTCTTCTGCATGAAACACCACGGTTAGGCCCTGCTTGGAGTGTGGACGCAACAAGATGGTGAGCATTGGTGGCATACATGTCCCCTGGACCCAGCAGCCAGGGCATGTTCTTCCTGCCTCAGAGCAACTGCAGCATTACTGAAACCAGCGGGCCATCCTCAGCTCTTGAGCTAGGATTATCCTTTCACCCCAGGGTGCCACTTGCACTGTGTTCTCTAGGGAACTGAAAACACCCGTTATTTTCTTCTGCTAGTCATTAATTATGGGGTCTGGGGACTCCTTCTTCCATCTTGCATTTTGAGCAGCTCTCTTACCTCTCCCTGAGGGCCAAGCTCAGGGAGTACCATGTTGGTACTACAGAAGTGCTCATATCTGGAACGGATCCTTTGGGCACTCTACAACAAATCCCAACTTAGTATTGTTATTGCTAGGACTTATCGTAGAGGTGAACAGAGCCAAAAATTCATATGGAAATTCAAGGGAAGTTCAGGAACAGTTAAACTGATCTTGAGCATCAAATACAAAGCTGGAGGACACACTTCCTAATTCAAAGACCTAGTATAACGACAAAATAATCCAGAGAGTGGGTATTAGCACTCAGACGGATATAGATCAATGGCATAGAATTGGGATCCAAAAATAAGCCCACATGCTTGTGATCAATTGATTTTGACAAGGATGCCATGACTATTCAGTAGGGGGAAAGAATGGTCTTTTCAACAAATGGCGTTGCCATGATTGTCTGGCCGCACAGGTAAGCTGACATTTTCCCATCTCCCTTACACCATGTTGAAAATCATCTCAAAATGGACCAAAGACCTAATTGTGAGACGTAATGCTATTAAGTTCTTAGAAGAAGACATAGGTTTAAATTTTTGGGACCCTGAGTTAGGGATTGGGTTTTAGAAGTGACACAAACATAAGCAACCAAGGAAAAATAAGTTGATTTCAAGAACATTAACACTTTTGTGACTCAAAGGACACTGTCGAGAAAATGAAAAGATTACTCAGAATGTATGAAAATCTTCTATCTAATGCTACTAATAAAAACAAAAGTCAGAAAACAAAATGAAGAGAGATAATACCAGGCTGAATGTGCAAGAATTTGGAATCAAGCCCAAGGCTCTGATGGCCCAACTGTGTCTCTCTAGGCATGTGATACTGCTAACAATAAAAGGGTGGCTTTGGAACACTAGAACACAGAGGTTTACTGTCTGTAACTGAAACCCTGAGGCCCAAGACAAAAGAGCTAATCGTTAAGAGAAATGGTCCCAGAGGCTGCTCTGCCTGGGCCAGGCTGGGCCCCTGGTCCCACCAGGCCACCTCACATAGAGGGCTACTAACATCTTCCCTGGGTGAACATACCCAGGAGGACAAACTGGCTGTGCTACTAGACAATGCTGCTGAGAGACTCCCAGGGTAACAGAGGAA